ATTTTTTTTTTTTTTTGAGGTCTTGCTAAGTTACCCAGGCTGGTGTCGAACCTGTGGGTTCAGGGGATCCTCTCACCTTGGTCTCCCAAAATTCTGGGATTATAAGTGTGAGCCACTGTGCCCAGCCATGAAAAGTCTTTCTAATTCTATACAGTACTGCTTATTAAAGGTTAGTTTTGATGCTTGGCCATCTGTAATCAGTATAAATAATGTTTTTTACAACTGATATTTAAAGTTTAATTATAATGATCTCAGTGTTTGGAAAAGTATTACATCTAATAACTGTGGTATAATGATATTCTTGTTGAGGTGATGGCAAGGTAGGGAGAAATTACTCTTTATATTATGAATAATAATTGGACCTACAGATGATAAAAATTACTTTAAGATTAACTCAGACTATCAGCTGCTAGAATTATTTTTTCCCCTATGATTTGCAGGAATATGCTGACTGCATGGTGGTCATGTGTCGTTAAATGGAATTAAATCATGTAAATGGAATTAAAAGTCATGCAAATGGATTAAAATAATATCTTTGGGGTTTTTCTCTGTTGATATTACAAATAAAACAAAATCTATCCCTGTCATCTTTTTTTTTCTACTTCATTTCTATGACTTGAATGCAATCTTTGTTACAACTAAATTATTGTTTGGTAATAATGGTGCATTAGGATGCACTGTATCTTAAAAATTCAGGCAGTGCAGTATGGCAGGACATATTGGTTTTGAAAGCTCTTATCTTTCTTCCACTATTTGAGGGCTTTAGATGGTGCAGAAAATTAAAATGTCAAGTCTGTGGATCTATTCAGTCTCACAAGCAAGGACAGTCATGGTGGTCAGTTACAGTGAGTATCCAGGCAGGAGCTGCATTGTCTAGCCTGGGAACTCCACAGCTGTTAATCGTGCTGTTGTTGTAGTGTGTCACTGCCATGTGTGTTTTGATTGAAGAAAGGCTACAGTGTTATGTCTGCCACCAGGATCTTCTAGTAATGATTAAAAACTACTGACCTCCTTTCCTATTGTAGCATTAAAGTCTTTTCTTATGATTAAAGTTGAGGAATAAAACTCTTGCTGAATACAACGCTAAAAGAATCATTTGTGCAGAAATTGTAAATTTTTGTGTGCAAAATAAAATCAAATTTACTAGAAGAAATTATTTTATAGGCAGTCTTTTTCAGTGTATATGCTTCTTTGCTTTTTTCCTTCTAATTTGAGCTGTCACTATATTAATACTACATTTTTATCTTAAAGATATAGTACTTTATACATTGTTGAGCAGGATTATTTTAAAGGAAGAATATCTCAACTGACAGACAGTATATTGT